ATGGCCACCACCAAACCAAGCACTGAATGTGGTGACAAGAGTTTCCTTCCTGAATGGTGAAAGGAGTAAACTAAATTGCATCTGGCTCTGATAAGCCAGCTTCTGAACTGAGCAGCTAAAGCACCAGTTTCTCTTGGTGGCTTTGTGCAGGTGAGCTATAATCTAATCCAATTGCATAAAATACAAACAGACAGAAAAAAACAGCTCATGCCCTCCATGTAGTACTGAGAGACTTCCTATGGGATGGAAAAGACATCATTTTCATTACTCTCCTCTCTTGTTGATCACAAAATTTTTCTGACAGATTCCAGTGCAATCCAAATTCAGCACATTGTTTACAACATTGTCCAGATCAAGAATTCTGTAGAAAAGTTGGTATCTCTCATGATGTTCCATCCTATCCTCTCCATTTTAAAGCACATTTCCCTCCCCATTAACATTTTAATTTTGATTTATGATTTTGCCTTCCTAGAAAGATGTTGTGAAAGTTGTTCTGTATCCCCAAGCATGAATGAGTGTGCCCACAGCTTTGAGTCAGTAACACAGCACCCTTTTCTATTTTAATTTTTCTGTCTAATTCTCAATATCTCAATTTCCCGTCTTTTTAAATCGTAGCTAGTTACAGGATTTAACATTCCCTTCTGATATAAAGAAATTTTCGTGCAGAGATTGTAATTAGGAAGGCTGTGCTGTGTTCTGCTATTAGCAAGAATTGTGATTTTTGGAGTGGTGGGTTAATTGCTAATAACCATATGCAATGCTTCTCTCAAGATGTTTCCCATTACAGTAATTAACTTAGCAGCTGGGGTAACAGACATTTACCATTTGTCTTCACAGTATCCCTGATTTAGGATTGTTCCAAAAACCTATTTGGACTTTTTTTGTTCAATTCCCAGGTGTAAGATGAAAAAGAGGGGATGCTGAGAAAGGGAGATTTGGAAAGAACAAGTTGCGGGGATAGTACCTGTTTTCAGATGTGAACTGTCTATCAGACTATCTCCAGGAACTCTGAATTTTTCTTCATTAGTCTTAGTCTTGGACCACCATTTTCATTAGTGCCAATTGGATAGAGACCATGGCAGACCAGCCTGAAACAGAGAGTTTTCAGAAATTTATTGAATTACTCTGTTGCTCAAATAAATCTCATTAATCTTTAGCCTTCTTGAGGATTTATTAATTGAATTTATTATTGCCTACTCATACCCTTAACCCTGAAATCCCTATAGTTTGTGATTTATTTTTATTTTCTTCATGTTGCATTGTCAACTACATAGCTATAAATGTTTTTAGGTAGTTACTTCCCTTCTGTGCTGTCTCACTGGAGTTCCTTCCCCCACAATAAGAAGTATGAGCTATGCCAGTAATATTTTTAAGAATATGGCTAACCTGAAATTTAAGAAAGAAAATAAAGTTGTTCTACAGAGCCAGACCACATGACAGACCAACAGCAGTTTTGTTGATTTAATTCATCAACAGAATACACTGAAACAATTAATTTTGCTTACAAGATAATTTTAAAGCTTTTTAGGACCACAATGCTAGATTTATCCCTTTTCTAAGTTTGTTCTGGACAGAGTAAATTCTGGATGATATGGTATTAAAGAAAGTTCGTTAATACCCTTAAAGATGTAAAGCAGCATACCAAGGCCATGGGAAGCTCTCTGTTGTGATGAATTGGCATTGCTCCATTGCGATGAATGGGTGAACACTAATTTACAGTAACTGAGGATCTAGCCTGCGTTGTTAATCATAATTATGGACTTACTTCAGGAGGTGCATTTTCTAAAGCAATTGGGTAAGACAAGAAAATTAAGTTCAAATTATTTTCTTTCACAGGAAGTAAAAGTAGTACATAAATAAATACTTGGTGTTGCACTAGATCTTTAAAATATATAATAGCTTTCTGGCACTGCATTGTTCCCCGATATTTTTTCCTACTGCACATAATAGTAAGTTTCTGATAATAGTGCTCACAGACAGCTTTGATTATAACCACTTGTCAGGGAATGGATAACTAGGAAAATAACACCACATTCAACTGTAAAAAAATACAGCCTGAAATACATTAATACAGTGATAATTTCTGCTAATAGAAGCCTCCAAACCCCATCCATTAGCTCTGAATTGAAATTCCTGTTTCATTTCTGTCTTCCTGAGCATTTCTGCCCTGTGACCCCTCTTCCATTACTTGGTAGCAACACAGCCATCCACAGACATTAGCTGGCACTAAGGGCCAAACCCCCGCACGAAGCATAATGAACAAATGCGCTGTGTGTTTGAGCAAACCTGGCTGGGACCGGGACTGGAAACTGGGACCCTCATGGTGGCTCTGCCTGCCCTGCACAAGTGCCAGTACAGATGACAGTGAGAGGCAGGGCATGGGTGGTTTGCCTTGTGTGGGAATTTACTGCCAACATCCTACTTGTTCCCCAGTCCCTTCCAGCCTACCCATCCAGCAGTCACCAACTATGCTCCCCATTTGCCCAGTATAACAGAAACTCTGGTGTTCCCTGATGTTGGGGATTCATTCAGAGGAGAGGGCAGGAGGGGTTGGGAGGAAAATAAAAAGGTACTGAACAATTTGACCCTATCACTCTAAAGGGGAAAAAATGTTCACATAAAGTTATTTCTTTTTGACAGAACAAGTAGAAATCCATTTATATTCAAGTCAGGAGTATATTTCTGTAGGGAGCTATTACATCTGATTGAGAAAATAAAATGTTACTCACATTCACAATTACTTACATAAAGACTGCTGATCTCATTTCTTAGCTTTTCTTTTTAGCATTAGTTAACCAAAACCCTAGCAAGAACATGCTATTGACAATATAATCCTAAAGTAAGTTTTATGTTGGCAGGCAATAACAACTAGGAGTATGTTTATCTATTTCTGGATTTGGGATAATGACACTCCGATGAGTAGCTAATCTAGTGTACTTGTGTACATTCAAATTCAAATCACAAATATGGGGGGAAGTTGCATCTTCACTGACCTACACAGGTTAGAGCCAGTTGTAACTCAAATTAACTTAATGGAGCTATTTCAGCTTCATCTCAATACAAAGAAAAGGATTAAGGTTTAGAAACTTCAGACCAATCCACTATTTTGCAGAGCAGTGAAAATATTACAAAATATTTTCTAGGAGGAAACATTTTATTTATTTTTTAACAATTCTTTTCTTAGTCATCTTGTTTTGGACATGCTGTTACCCACCTGAAAAATCTGCAAACAGCTGAACAAGCAACTCCTTCAAAAAGTTTGGAGTATTTGTGCTCGGAGTGTTTAAAGGCTCATCAAGTCAGGAAATAGAAAGAATCCTTTGAGACTTAAACCAACCATAGGTAGACAACACAATCTGATTTTCAAATATTCTTGATCTATTCAGAGGGTAGGAAATTTCAAAGAGTTGTTCTCTAAGAAAATGGAAACAAATAAATGCAAAAAATATTAAAATACGGGATAAAAGAGGTCTATTTCACCTAATGAATTTTTCAGTTAGTTCACAGCACAGTTCAGTGAGTGTCAGGGCTACACTAAAGGGATGAACTCAATCACACAAAACAGACAACAATAACACTCCAGCAACCGCTGCATGTAAAACCACACTCTTAACTAGCTCTAATACTTGAAGCGTTCTAATTTATCCTCTGGGGAAGGCAGCCCCCTCAAAATTTGGATTTTAGATGTTAAAACTAGTAACTCTCATCTACATCACCGAAAACGCAGTTGCAAAACATATCAAAGAAAAACGTGCTCAGAAGTAGAATCCTCCTCAGGGTTTCCCCATCCCTTTGGAATTGCCCGTGTATTTCAGATGCGAGCTGCTTGGAAAGCTTGTATTTTCTCCTTTGTTTAACACAGTGCTAAACACATCACTGGTACTTAAAATACTAAAATTCAAAGGAATAAATGCTTTGTTTGTTTGCTTCCAATTAGCAGCTAATGAAATCCCAGGAATACACTTTCAGGTAATTTGTCACAGAAGAACCGAAACTCAATAGCGTGTTTCTCAGTATAACTTTCCTCTCTGTCTGTTCTGCTGACACAACTAGACCACACTTCATTCTCAGAAAGACATTAGAGCATTACTTTACTGTTTTTTCCTCTAAATTACCTGCCTGGCTACTGTCACCATTGATCTTTTAAGTCCTTGACTGAGTAATCAGTCAGACAGCTAATTAATGTAGTGGCTTGGAGGGAAAGAGGGAGGGATGAAATGAAAGAGGAGTTTTTTCCTTATTCTTCATGTTTTTATTGCCTTTGAAAGGTGCTTTATCCATAGCATAAAGGAGCATTTGTCTGTGCTTTTTTTCTTCTGAGACAATTCACCTACTATAAATCTATTTACCAACTATTAACAGAAACCAGGAGAATTTCATGGGAATGATGAAACTGAAATCTAAGAAAAAAAAAAATCTAATATTTTGTATTTATTTTTTCCCTATTAACACTTGTGGACTGTAGTATATAACTTGAATGAGTAGAAACTGCAAGACGTGACCCATATTTTCAGATATTTTTAGAAATAAACCAGATGTTTTAAAACTCAGATAACTTTGTTGTATTTTGACAGAAAGTTAAGATTTTTTCCCCCTTCCCTCCTCCTGGGTCCCCTCCCCATAGACAAGAATGTCCCAGGTGATCTACAAAGCCAAAGCTTTATCCAGATTTGGTTTTAACCAAAATGGGTCAAACTCAGGTGCCCGAATGTATTGTTTAAACACCCCCTCTCAGTTTGACTTTAGTCTGAGACAAAAGGCATGAGGAAATGGAATGCCTCATGATAAGATTTATATTCCAAAAGTACTCACTGAGGCCTGTTCTTTAAA